CCCCCCCCCCCCGCTTATTTCAGTTCATAGGAATCAAATTTATTTTACAAATAATAGATTTCATCCACCTGACCGCATTCTTGCAAACCCCTCTTCCTCAGTCTCTCCCCCCTGGTCAAGAACGCAAGCCTGGCTACTAAAAGACTGAGCACACGTGTAAAAATACATCGTCTCAGAAAGAGCACTGCGGTTTCAGCTCAGCAGATCAGATTTTGTCTGCAAGATGGAAATTGCAACCTTCTAATTTTGCAGAACCACAGGAAGAAAAGCGAATTACACAGAGAGCCCACCGCACGTCTCCAGCCTCAGCTACAGCGGGAGGGGTCGTGGGACAGAACGAAGCGCGGGGTGTTCAGTGCACTCTGGAGCGGGGGGCCGCGGTGAGGGCGTGGGGGGCGTCGGGGCTGCAGACACGCGGGTTTGTCACACGCGGAGGAAGAATGCGGCTTCTTTCACATGCGACGGGTGCAGGAGGCCCACACCTGCACCGCGGCGCCTCAGGGCTGTGGCAGAGGGCAGCCGCGCAGCTGGGACACGCTACCCTGGACTCCCACCGCGCAGGCTGCACAGCGAGAATCGACTGCGCACAGAACGCGAGAACGGAACTAGACAAACGAGAGGAGGCCATTCAGCTACTAGTCGCTCAATCGATCCCGGGACCTCCTCCAGAAGCCAGGGCTGCTGACTGCTTTTCCGATTCCTTTGGTTCTAGGGGCACCTTCTCCGTGTGGAGTCCCACCAATGAAACACAATCATGGTGCTGATAATCTCACCCCCGCGGAGAGCAGTTCGACATCCCTGAATGTTGTGGAATTGTTGGAATGCGCGGCACCATTTTGATCCGTTTTTACCCATTTCGTTAAAACCCAGGAGAAAGAGCCCTTCCCCCTCCAGGCCGGCGCTCAGACTGCGTCAGGGACAAGGAGCTACGGGAGCGCGGCCCGAACGACGGGCTCGGGCTGCGGTTTCCAGAGCAGGCCACAGAAAGACATGGCGCTCAGGAAAAAAGGGCCTGGCTGTTGCACAGCAGATGGGAACACGGTCAACCACTTTATTCCTTTATTTTTCAATCGGATCTGGAACGTAATATTTGCTAAGCAAACAAAATATGCTTCTAGATAGCGCATATAATAATGACCTATATCACTGTGCACAGAGATAAATTTAAAAAAACAAGCACACAATAGTGCAGACTGCTAGAGCTCAGCAGGAATTCAGTCAATGTGGAGCTATAAAGTTTTTTTTTTAAAGTGCAGTTTTTCCACTTGGCAGAAGGTGCAATCTTATCTTCAGAGAGTACAATCAGAACAAGACTGGCTCTGTAATATTCTCAAAATGCACAT